GAGGAGGGGCTGCAAACCCAGCCCAGGGAGCTGCGAGGAGGAAAGACCCTCCCTGAGCCGGGAAGGTGGACGGAGATCCAGGCAGAGCTCAGAGCTGGTGGAGAAGCCTCATGGAGGGAAGAAGCCCTACAAGTGCTTGGAATGTGGGAAGAGTTTCAGGTGGACCTCCGAGCTAATCCAACACCAGAGGATGCACACTGTGGAGAAGCCCTTCGAGTGTGGGGAATGTGGGAAGAGCTTCAGAGACAGGTCCCATCTGATCCGGCACCAGGTGATCCACACTGGGGAACAGCCCTACACCTGCTTGGAATGTGGGATGAGCTTTGGGTGGAGCTCTGCCCTGAGAAAACACCAGCGCATCCACACCGGGGAGAGGCCCTACGAGTGTCCCAAGTGTGGGAAGAGGTTTCACACCAGCTCCAATCTCCTCATACACGAGCGGATTCACACAGAGGAGAGGCCCTTCCGCTGCCCCGACTGCTGGAAGGGATTCAATCTCAACTCCACCCTCACTGTCCACCGGCGCATGCACACTGGGGAGAGGCCCTACGAGGATCCTGAGTGTGGGAAGAGCTTCTCACACAGCTCTAACTTGACCCAACACCAACGTAGGCACCACTAAGGGAAGCCTTTTGAGTGCCCCAAGTGTGGGAAGAGCTTCATGCTCTGCTCCAGCTGCATCCCCCATGGGAGGATCAGTGTTGGATGATCCCCAGTGACCCCCGTTGGGCAGAGCCCTGGTGATCCCTGGTCCTGGTGATCCCCATTTGGTGGGGGAAGGGGTTGGAGATATTTCTTTCACTTCTCCTTGTACTTCTGTGATTTGGTTGTAATAAATTCCGTTGCTGTGCCCAGGCTGGGTCTGTTGTTCCCATGCAAGTGCACGGGGGGGATCTCTCCCATTGCTTCTCTCAACTCCCAGGCTTCTCATCAGCCAATCAGAGAAAGCACCAAAATAATTGAGCCAATCAGAGCGCGCGGCGCTGATGACTCCTCAGGCAGTCCCAGAGCGCCCAGAGCTCCTCACCTGGACTCCACCCGCGCCCCGCCCC